CCTCTGGTGACCAGGGAGATGACCTAGCGTGACCTCAGCGAGGTCACAAGCAAATGGTTTCACATGGGCTGTGATTTGCTGACCCAAGACACTTCAATAACGAAATATAGGAACAATCACGCCCGATTTAGCTGAAAAACAACTACTTTTCGATTCTCCCATTGACTTATAATGGGGAGCAGCGATGACCTGACCTGACCTTAGGTCACATTTATAAAAAATCCGAGATAGCCATTTTGTAGAGCTGGGTGACATCTTCAAGTACTGTAAATTTTACATCGATCGGATAAAAGCTGTGCCTTTGAGAGAGCTTTGAACTTTTTTAGAGGTGGTGTCAGTTTTGGTGACCTTGTGACCTGACCTGACCTGACCCGAACCCCCCAAAAAAGGACATGATGTAAAAATGTTGAATAAACAGCTATACAAAGTTTCAGGGCGCTAACTCAAGTGGTTTCTGAGTTATCGCTGAAAAACCACAGGGGGGGGGGGCCAAAATGGCCCCCCCCCCACCAGGGCGAAGGTTAAAACCTTTACTCCAGGCTGCCAAAACGGTAGTTTCTTCACTCAGCTGAGACGGAATACCTCACTTTTTGAAAATATTTTCGTGTTTTTTTTCTTTTTTTGTTCGTAAACTTGGGAAGCAAGTTGTTTTCGATGCAGATCTGGTTAAATGTAACAGCAGCATTTGTCCTGACTAAGTCTTTTCCAATGGATTCTAGTTTTCTTATCGCCTTCTTTTCTTGGATCGATACTCTACTGAAGATAGAATTCATGATAGCGAGTAAAAACACATTCCAAGTTACATACATTTTTTCGGACCGGTTTCGATATACTCCCTAGTCCCTATATCATCCTCAGCGAGACTATGTTGCGCACGATACAATTATAAGTTAGGACATTGCAACATGACAAAGACGTTGTTTTTTTTTGTTTTTATTGAAAAGGCCAAGGTCTGAAAAATAAGTGGCCTAAAACCGGTGAGAAAACTAGATTTGGGGGTACCCTAGGTTGATTTCTATTATGGTTCAGCCCCCCCAGTCTGGAAGAAGTTCCCGCGCCACTGGAAATAGCGAAGAAAAGGCAGCGACAACACAGTAATGCTGCGTTCCAGGAATTTCCTCATCCTGACCGTGACTAGATTGTTCCTGGTTCATGGGACGCATGGCTCCTGAATCGAGCTACCTGATTCATCTAAAGCGGATGTCCGCAGCTCAAAACGGGTCCCGCGCATGGAAAAGTAGGCAATGAAAACACGCCTCTCACGCGAGCGATGAGACATCATTAAGTAACCAGCGACGAATCGCGGCAACACATAACAACATATGTCAGAACATGGGCTGTTTGGAGTTGGGCAAGATGATGGTGAAATAATATTTTCGTCGCGTCGTCCGGAATGGGTTTTCGAGTTGGATCGTGACCATCGAACAGGTTTCGACCGGAGATCGGTGTTTATCTTGCCATTCATCGTGACCTTGTCAATTTCAGCAGATTCCACCAGAAGCAGTACCATAATATTTGTAGGACGCAGCCTCGTGCGCAACTCCCGGAGCTGTGTTTCTGATCATTGCTGCTGGGTCAGATATGTATATCTGACCCGGCAGCAATGATGGGGAAACTGGCTACTGGGTACTGGGGCTTGTCATTATGTCATACCTACGCAATAAAAATAAACCCGCTGTTTTATAGCTCGGTACGTCACCTTTTGAAGGTCATGAAGAGTCGCCGATCGTCCTCTTGTCGTCGGTCGCATCAGGTCGGGAGCGCCTCAGGCGGCTACCGATCTGAGATCCCGGACTAAGCTCCTTCCGTGACCATTCACCTTTTCACTAAAATTGTTCAAACCGCACCGGATTCGGTCCGCGCCTCCGGCCTCAGTCCGCACCGACCACTGATCACACCGCAGTCGCACACCCAAAGATATCACTCCTCTTGATCTTCTGACGCCCAACGAATAAGTGATCGTCACTGTCACATCACTCATCGCAAAGTCACCCGCAATTCCGCAAAATATGTCAAATGGGTATAACGCACTCAGCACTGACAGCCGCTGCCTGTCCCACTTTCAACCTCTTGCCCGTCCTTGACTTCTGCTTCAACTCAGGCGGGCACCGTGAGCATTTTCAACGGGAAAACAGCGCCAACTGATTATGTGTTTGCTGCTTTTGAACTGCGTCATCTACGGGTACACCTTGTTTTTCTTGCTGGACGGAGTAAGTCGTGGCTAGTAAATGATATTTTAGGCAAATGGAGTTAGAAGTCTTGGATTTCTTGAGTTGTTTATTTAAATTGGCTTATAGATAATTTTCTTTTTACTTCACCACATTTGTAATACCTATAATCTACATTATAAAAGAATAAAAATAATAAAAATAATTTTAGGTCAGACTTTGGGGATGCATTGGGTCACTTTTTTCCATGTTTAGTCGTGGCTAGTAAATAATACTATCTTCACATGCCACAAGAATGGATCCGAATTCTTGAACTACTATTGATATTAAGTAACAGATAATTACTTTTATAATTAGAAGAGTCGATATTGTAATCCTTTATCTATTTTGATGTGCATTCACAAATGGAAAGCCAAAGTTTGGGTAAGCACCGGTCACGAAGAACCGATCTACAATACCGAATATAGCCCGAAGATATTGCTACGCCATGACTCCAAATGGTTTGATTTTTGGGAAGGTTTCGATTTTAGAATATATGACGAAAAGGAAACTGTTGCGATTCCGACGGTGAAGCGCCGCGTACCCGAACTCCATTTGTGAACTCGTGTGTACTCCATTGAAACCAGTGGCGAAACATTAACATTTTCCGACCGGGAAATCAGAAATGTTTCAGAAATCGTCCTCACAATAACCAAACTAGGATCAGTCAGCCAATGATTGAAGGTAGCGAGCGCAACCCACGCCTCCGTTTAATACTCATTCGAGCAAACCATGTCTCTTCACACTGCATTTATTACACGCAGGTAGTGTGACAGAGTTTCACAAGTAGAAATAAATCGATATGGATCATCGGTCGTTTATTGAACGTCAAAAAACCCCGTTCGGATCACTAAGGCCACCCAGGAGAGAGTTCACTGACCCTCACACAACTCATGAACAAATACAGGACACAATAAAATTAAGAGTACAACTCATACATATCCTTACACACAATTCAGTCAACAACATAATTGTACCTGACGCATCGAATGATTGTTGGCACAAGTAAAAATGTTGCTCCTAGCGCAGATCTCGTAAATATTATTTAAGCCCGATACGTCCTACGCTATCCAGCAACAGAAACCACTCCCATTTAAGAGTAACCCTGTGGCCTGTTGCTGTAGCAGCGGGAGCATGACGCGACCCCGGTCACCAACGGCAGCCCTCCGTCTAGGAGACAATGAGGACTCAAGGATTGCCAGTAGTCGGCAATGAGGCAGTCCATACATACATGCTCCATCGAGGAGCGCGGCACGTCGAGTAATCAGCATATAGGGGCAGACATCGCGCCAGCCACGGGTGCTGAGCCAGTATCGCAGACGTATGTACCGTTACCAGTTTCTTGAGCGATCAGTCATGAGTCAGCTCGGAGAGGGAGTGGGCAGACGAGGTCCTGGTCACGGAGCACGGACGGCGCGCGGCGGCATTTAGCAGACCTCGCCAATCTGAACATTAGTCGGGCTACGACTGGACCACAGCCCGGTCCACCACTGCCAGGACCGCCGCGCGGAGTGGGCATTTTACGATCAGCCAGCACGCCGCCGCACGGGACCACGCGGCGGCTGTGACCTTCAGTGTTGTTGTTGTTGCTTCCTCCAGCCGCTACCGCAGCGTAATGGTACAGCTCTCGAGGTTTCTCACGGCGGTCGTCAGGACCGCCACCTCTTCGTCCTCACGGCTCACGGACCGCCTCCGGGCTCGGGAAGACGGTGCCGAATCGACGGAAACTCCGTCCCATGAGGGCCGGGCACCGAAAGAAAAGGTGATGGGGGAGGGGGTGTCGATGTCGGAGCACTGGCGGCGTTCGTCAGTAGGGTTCTGTTCTATACAGTGAAGATACTGGCGGAAGCCCAACCACTGGCCCATACGAAGCCGGTAGCAGCCGATGCTCGGTACTCCGCAACCGCTAGCGGCGGCAGACAGCCAGCCCCCCCCCCCCCCCATCAGAAACCGGCACCAACTGTCCAGCCAGGCGGCGGTGGCACAGTGGCGGGCCAATCTGATGGCCGCGCGGTGGGCAGTGCCATCATCCCCCGGGACTGTCGCCTGGGGGAGCGGGGTCACCTCCGTGCTCGAGGCTCGCGCTCGAGGCTCCTTAGCGGCCTGGTCGGCGCGCTTGTTACCATCTATGCCGGAATGGGACGGCACCAATTGCAGGTGGAAGTGGCGGAACAGGACTGCCAGCCCCGTCCACACGGCGGCGCCCATCGAGGTTTTCTGTGTGGCTGGGCCCTCCCTCAGTGTCGCCAGCGCCGCCTGGGAGCCTGTGCAAAAGACGACCGGGGCGCTCAGGTGCCACAGGTGGTCGCGCGATGGCTGAGCGGAGCGCAACCATCTCCGCGCTCTAGCTGGTGCAGAGCTGGCCAAGGCCCCGGCCCCTCCGTTGCGGACTCCTGCGTCAGCCGAACCGTCCGTCCATACCCAGGTGGCTTGGGAGAAAGAGCGCCTCGGACGTACTCGATGGCGACCGCCCGCAGGTGGTGCTGACTGATCATGCAGATTGTAGGCCTCACGAGTGGCCAGTAGGTCTCCTCGGCTGCGCAGTACATGACGCATCCTCCTTCGGATGCGGCCGGCGCGGAGCCCTCGGTGGTGGATCAGCAGGTAGAGCATTACTTGCACGGCTTGATCAGAGTCGCTCGAGCGGTCGCTGACGCGCCAGCGCTCGTCACTAGTGGCGGGGCCGGCTGGCAGGGGCCAGGGCTGTCTTTCATCAGCCGAAGATTCCATCGCCAGAAGCTGAAGATGGCTACTGGCCCAGACCGCCAGCATCGTGGATCCGTGCTGTTTGCTAAGCTCATTTCTCTAATCTGAAAACAAACAAACAAAAGTGGTTTCAAAAGGTATGCACACTGAATGTCAATTGCCATTGAACCTTGTCATGACTAAAAATACAAGCTGCATTTAATCCGCACAGAACAAAAAAGTTAACATTGGGCTTATTAAGAATAATGGGGCGCCATACAATGTATATTGTATACATTCAGTATTATTTGCAATCATAAAGAATTAACACATGCTCACAGCAACCCAACACTACTGGCCGCCCAAGTAGGTACTCCAGCCTCAAATCATTGTTGATTGACTCAATCATATCCAGGAAAGTCAACCATTTTTTTATATTTTCAACTGCATGAACATTTTATGTTAACTGATTGCACAACTGACTCACATTTGATGTTTTAAAGGAAAAGGGCCACCTTTAACATGGGGATTGAAACTGAGATAGCCATCTTGTAGCCCGTGTCCGAAAACCTGTCTGTTAATCTCCTTACGGCCGATTTCGGCCTCCATTCGTAGTTATCGGCAATTTTAAAAGAAAATGCGCCAGGAATGCGTCCTTATCCCAGGAATGCGTTCTTATCCGACAATACAGCCACCCGCGGCGAGGCTTTGGTTTTTTACCAATCAGCTCCAACCAGCTCAGCTTTAACCAATCAGCTTATCTGACACAATCCGACGAGTCTGTCTTCTGAACGCTGATTGGCTTGAGTGTGACGTCATCGCTATGCCATCATATAGTAGGTGCCGTAGAGAGTATCAACATAGTACCAATATGTTAAATAGTTTTAAATACTTTTTCGCGAATTGTGCACTTCTGGCACCAGTTTTAAAAAGAAAATGAAAAATAATAATGTCAAAATGAAAAACAACGATATCTTCATATTTCACGAAGGTGGCCCTTTTCCTTTAAAGCAGTTCATATTTAGGTACTGAGATGACAATGAGCTATGTAAACATGTGCTTCTAAATCAAAATGATAACAATGCAAAGCACAACCAAAAGTTTGTAAATATTTAGTGGCTGCTTCCTTTTGTACCACCAGAAGGCTGACCTCAGTGACATTCATGGGTTTGAAGAAAGAGTGAAAACCTTTGCTTATTAATAATCTTACCCATTGATAACTGGCCAGAATTGTAGGCCTGTTGTTTTTCTGAGTGATATATTTTCAAAATAACCCTGGTTTCTTCATAAATGATAGGAGATTGTCCTGCAAACATGAGAATGCATGTCAACAATGACTACAGCAAAGATGCATTTTCAGTATGAGTGTCTACATATACAAAGAATGCCCATTACAGAGAGGTTGCCTGAGCCATATGAAGCCAAATATGAGCCCTCATATGAGGGCGCATATTTGGATATTACAACACAAGCTGAAGCACTTCTAAAAAATAATATCATTTCTAATTCTTGTAGCTGGTAAAATGTAGGACATTGTAGGCTATTATTTGCTTTGTGGTATTTGTCAAGATGAGGTCTTAAATCCTAACTACAATTGTGACACTGTTGATATGAATATGCAACAACAGAAATTTTAGGTTTTAGGTTAGTTTAGGTTGTATATTTGTAGGTTTTAGGTTGGTAGGTTTGTAGGTTGTAGGCTGTAGGTTGTAGGTTGGTAGGTTGTAGGTAAGGTTAGGTCAGGTTTGATTGTTTTTTCTTTTATTAGCGAGACACGTATCATTTTTGGATTCAGGATGTCAAATAATGTAAGAATATGAAAAAATTATCCTTGAAATCTTCTTAGGACTTTATCTTTACATTTACCTTCTTTGTTTGTATTGTTCTTTTTTGGTAGGTAATACAGTGATGCTTGTTTTGATTGCAAAATATGTTCTGACGGCACCTCTGCCGAGCGCCCTACATAAACTGTAAACACAGGACATCATACATGAATGAAATACTAATAAATGTTTGCACATGACCACGGCATTATCATCAAATAGTAAAGGTCAACTATGTGTCATTTCTCACACCATTTCACCTGCATTGCAAGCCTTTCAATTTGCATGGTAGAATTACCATGAAATGCTTTTATGAACCCCTCTGTATTGCAAACCAAAAGTAAATAAACACCAATCTTCCATGGCTCAGAATAATATTTAAAAAAATGGTAACTTTTCTCACCTTAACTTTTGATTTATTAAGGGTGCAGTAAGAAATAGGTACATTGAAACAAACCCATTATACTTCAAAAAGCTCCAAGACCCACTGCTGCTACACAGACAATAGCCGCGTTTACATAGAGATCGTTGCAAGCTTCATCCATGATGTTGCAAAAGATGCCGCTGGTACACCTACTGAACAATTTACAGAATGATCCCCTCTAAATATGCAAGGATCACTGCATGGAAATTATCACAAAATAAATAAGCTAGAGCCTAGTCAAAAATGCGACGTAACCAGGCATACCTATTATTATTTCACGCCACAGCAACCACCATTGCCACAACCAATGAAACAAAATATTTCAAATTTTAACTTATATCAATACCTATCTGATTTCAAACACGAAATTCAACTTCTGTCTCACCTGATGAGTTAATTTAATTATAATTGATCGCTTCGTGATCTCCCCCCCCCCCCCATTTTTCATGTTTTGGCGGTGCGGCGGAAATGACGCACAGGAGACACACGAGACACAGCTCCAAAACAACAGAAGCATGCTTTCCCTACGGCCGACGAAATTCTATAATATTTTATTTCCAATTTGTGATCCCTTAACATCTAAACTTTGGTAAAACGTCCATGCCGTTAAAATTGTTTTTAGTTTGCTATTTAGATTCAGCTGAGAAAATATCAAACGGAACCCCATGGTCCCGAAACTGGGCGAATTCATTAGTATTTATCATTTTTTTCATCTTAAAATTTTTGTAAAAAAGGGTCCGTTATAGCCGTTAACATCTAACTGAGTGGTTACTGACCATATAGTTGGAATAAATAATAACTGAGGATTTTGTGGAAGTAAAAAAATCATCGGAGCAAGACCTCCTTAGCGAAGAAAATAGATGAAATACTGGAAAATAGGAGTTGATGGCTGAGAATGCCCCAGGGTTTTCCGCATTTTAATTAACTTTAACATCTTATTTGGGGGGATTGTTGTACCTTATTGAATTCTCTGAGCGATTTTGAATTTACCAGTGTCCTAATATCATCAACCCAAGCTTTGGATTTCACGAAATCGACGCTGGCAAAAAGGCTTTTTGAGTGCCTGATTTTAATTACTTTTCTGCGTAAGTAAAATTTAGATGGGTATGAGATAAATTATTCAACAATGAAATCAAAAGTTGCGGTTTTTTTGCCAGTTTGGGCGAATTCTGTAGTGTAGTTATCGATTTTGAAAATGTAAATGCTGCTAATGGAATGCCAGGAATGTGAACCCATAGGGTCCATGTTGAAGGAAATTCTCGGCGTTACCTAGTATTTTTATCTACCGTGCTTCAACTGACGCGTCTCGCAGAATATGCTTGTTGTTGATTGGCTGATACGGCGGTCTCGCCGCCCGGGGGAGGGGAGGGGACGGAGGGCGAAGAGAGGAGGGCATTAAAGGCAGGGGAGGGACGGAACAGGCCGGATTTATGCGTGGCAACAGGCGATGAAGACTGCGTAATGGACATTGCGCTGTTTACGGGGGCGGATCGCGGAGGTCATTGATGAGGTCCTACCCATGACCATCCAAAATGCCCTTAGAAAAAGTTAAATTTATTTTGACTCCATTAAAGCCACAGACGGCAGAATGTGCCTAGGTATAATTGTATGCCTGGGGGCTGCGGGGCACAGACATCATGTTGAAACCATTCCCTTCCTCTCGCTAAACTTGTACAATTGACTTTCCAACATGAACACTCTACAGCTTACTTTAATGCAACTATTTGCCGCAATTCGTACTTATTTGATCAACCTTTTATCTCTCGGATGCAATTTGTTATGAAACCAATTTTATATACCGTAATTCCTATGACTTCGAATCATTCTGCTTGCATCGTCATCATATTTTCAGTATGTTCTGAGTCCAGATAGGTCTGTCCACATAATGGTGCATTTACAAGTCATGCCCGTGACCCTTGACACGGCTGGTCACTTTCCCGCAACTGTAAGCCATGAAGAATCATCATACCCCCATGAACGGCCTCGCTGTTCCAAGCTACGAGTCACAAATATATCCGATGGGCGGCGGAGCATGAAATTATGACACGCCGTATCCACTATCATTAATGGGCATGATCATGAAGATGCATACCCGGCCGGGATCTTCTGTGACCCTGAAGGTCACGGCGGCCTCACGACTGGGCCGCGTGACGGACGATTTTGACCGGTTGCGATGCGCGCCGCGTCCTGCCGCGGTCTGGGAGGGCCGGCCGTGCGGCGGGTGTGGAGCCGGCGGGGTGCCGCCGTATGCCGGTCATTACCAGGTACTGCAGCGGACCGCGGCGGCGAAGACGGACGGCCGCCGCAGTTAGCGGCCAATTTCGCTATAGCGCCGGGTAAATCATACCGGAGCGTGGGGTAAATCATACCGGCGAGCGGCGGTAATCGGCGGCGACTCATGCCGCCGCCCGCGGCGCGCTCGTTAACGGAATCGGGACGGCCCCGGAGCGCCCTGTTGACTCTTGAAATAACAATTAGGGTGGCTGGCAGGCGTCGGCGGTGACTGGGCAGTTTACGAGGGTGTCCATCCTCGCCCGATCGTGATGTCACGACGAGCAGCGGCCGTCCGGTCGCCATTGGTATGCACGCCAGTCGCGCACGCTTTCCTTGCTTTATTGTATCGATGAAAATGTAATTAAGGTCGGGTGATTTGCGGATGAGCCGGCGCGCGGCGTGTCCGAACGATTTGATGACGTCATGCGTGCAGCGGAGATAGTTCGGCCACCAGCTGAGGATTTTCTTTACTCAAGTAGGTGCTTAGTTTGTTGCGAGATTAGCAATCATGCATAAGATCAACTCTGCAAAATAAACAGTACCTACTACCTAACCATTTTTAATGTGCTTATTGGACCTTGGCAAATGTGAGGCCAAAAGGCGAAGTCAATGCACATCATCTTTCTTTTGACATCTTTCTTTTGCCTTCTTTTTCTTTTCATCGAAGACATCTTTTTTCTCTTTTAATTGTTGTTAAACGCTTTCATATGCATGATGTAAAGCTTGCTATGCGACCGCCTCATATCCTTTTTGGAGCAGGGCGCTGCCGCAGCCCATTGTCGGATGAAGGCTGGTCTTTCGGCTACTAACTTATATTCATTTCACACAAGAGTTGCAATGAAGAGACCACACTGTTTGCATAATGCGTCAGGATGCGTCTCAACGACCTATCTACAAATAACCACGTAGCTCATTATACGCTGCATCCGGGCCGACCGGGCCGACGTATAAATAGCCGAGCCGCTCGTTTGACTGCGCCGTATGGCTTTATAAATAGGTACATCTCTGGGATAACGCGATTATTGAGGACATTAGCCTGAGCTAATCGCGGCTCTGGGACGAGATCAGTCTGGAGCGCGGGACGCAGCAGCTCGGCGATCGCCGGTCGATCGGCGGAGACGGTGCTCCGAGTCCGTAGAGACGAATGGAGACGGGTTATTCAGGGCCCGCCGTCCGACTATTGATGGCCGGGGTGGGTGTGATGGCTCTCCGGACATTCGGTTATACCCGCCTGTAGTGGAATGGCTCATTGAAACAAGTAAGAGTGAGGAAATGCTTTGTATTTGTTTATCATGTAGCGGACTGCGGAGGGAGTAAGACATTTCATTATGAGCTCAGGGTCCTGCGGTGCGCCGTTTCCCCACTACCCATAGCACGGCGAAAAATGTGGAGGAGTTTGGCATCCACCCAGGCAAGTCGCGGGTCAAATCGCTTCTTCTCCTAACGTTTCAATTTGTCACCGACTCACAGTCCGACACTTTTTTCCAGCCATGGCGTGTGGTTTTCGCTAATGTATTCTCTTTGGATTAGCACCAATTCGTTTTTATTCATCGACTATCACTTCTTTACGCTGGCCTCTCACGCAGCTCACCTCTCCGTCCAGACGATGGCGAAATTAACCCGGTCACTTCACGAAAACGGCAATGAAGCATTGTCAAGCAGTCAACGCCCTGGGAAGATAAACGCTATTTAGCTGCCCCCGTTATCGATGATATTTTATCAACGGAACACTATTTACATAAATGTTGCTGTCGTTTAATTGTTTTTTTTAATGACCTCCTTACAAAATTATACTTTTCATTCATGTATTTTTGTTTTAGATCATTAAAAAGGATCATTAATTAATTTAATTAATTAGATCATAACATAATTAATTAGATCATTAAATTAATTTAGGTCATTAAAAAAACAATTAAACGATTAAAATAAATGCCTTACATTCAGCAAGCACTTAACGAATTAAATGTTGCTGTCGTCCTGACAGAAAGTGTGCCTTCACGCCTGTGATATTGTGTAACAAAACTATATGATGAAGCGCGATATCAAGCTCATTAAGATTTAAGTAATATGGAAGCATAGCTTGCAATCAATTTGCACTTGCCTAACAGTTACGACTGCAGCATCTAAATTGAAACCTGAACATTTTCGATCATCCATTTTAACCAAAAGTGTTCAAAAGGCACCCTGCCGAAAACTCGGCCGAACGACCCAGCTCCTTCGAGTGCTGTTTCAGTCATCACATCAGAGTGACGCGCCAGTCATCACATCAGGGTGACGCGCCAGTCAACACATCAGAGTGACGCATCAGTTATCATATCAGAATGACGTGTGTCAGTCACCACATCAGAGCCCCTCTGACGTCGGCTGGGTCGGCGGCACGCGTCACCCCGGTGGGGGGGGGGGGTGAGCGACACCGGGGAGGGGGTGGGTGTGATCAATCGACTCAGTGATCGACATCGGCTGTTTTGGATACCAGCCCAGCCGGCCGACGGGCCGACGAACCGCGCGCGTGGTGCGCTGACTTCATTCACACGGACAGGGAGGAAATCGGCAGCGGGTGACTTCATTCACGGAACGGGTGGGACTGCTCTGAATTTATTCTAGGAGACTGGGAGAAGGGACTGCAGCGCGCTGACTTGACTTTATTCACGCGAATAAAGTCAGTGCGCAGAAGTAAATAAGTGATTATTTCCCGACATTTTCTCGGCAAGATTTTATAACTCAAGATCTTCTTGAGTTATGCAATTGATCGGTCAATGTTTTATGATTCTCTCGTCAGCCTCCTAACAGCATAGCCTAGACCAGAAAAGCATCGCTCTGAGGTATCCATTAGCGCCGTTTGAGTTGAAACACTAAACTAGCACATCAGTCGTGTCATATCATCCATCAATGGGGCTAGAGCAAACACTAGCCCACTCTGGACCCTGTCAGTCTGTTCGCAAACTGCCGACGGCCACGCTCCTGCACCGTCCGACACGGGGTTGTGTCCGACGCACCCGCGCCAAATGCGGCGCACGGCGCGGCGCGGCGGCCATCGCGGCGCGGCGTGGCGTGATTTGTGTGTCGGCTGGGCGGCGAGGACAGGCCGGATCGCGCGCGCCGGCTCGTTCTTTATGGAGCGGTCAGTGCTGACTGGGTCCCCCGCTGG